ATAACCCAAATGTAGCTCTCTCTTGTGAATGGCGCCAGGCGCCCTATCTACTCTACAGCCTATCCTACAACTACAGCAATGAAAGCAACCAGACAACTTGACTACCAGCGAGTGATGATGTCAACACCAATGCCGACCTCCACCTCCACCAGGTACGTGTCCTCTTCACCCACACTCTCCCTTGTACCCACACAGCGCCCTTCACCTCTGAAGAACCACCTTCGCCCTTCACCTCTCCTGCACCCTCATGCGGCCCGGCTATGGCCGCCAGTGCCTTGCATGCAGGCAGCGCCCTACCGCCTAGCGCTGGCATGCTTCACCTTAGCGCAGCGCTGCTCTGCACAGTGCAGCACACATGCATCCGCGCAGCGTGCCCACAATGCCAGCATTGGCCAAGATCCCTGCCCACTCGCCCTGCTTGCCTATATGCCAGTGCAGCCTGTGGGCGGCCTCCCTTCAGCCTGTGACCGGGACCCAGAGGCTGAACCCAGCCTGATACAGTTGGGCCCCGGGGCAATGCAGTTGCGCCTCCTTCATCAAGGTCTGCGGCCAGATTCAGATAGTGGGCCGATTTCCCTTTGGCATTTTCGGCCTCTCTTCCCAGCATGCATTGTCGGCCTCACATTCGAGTGCCCAGGGCCTAACTAACTCAGAGGCCCTGGGCCTTTCAGCATTTGCTGAAATCCGAGACTCGGTGCACTCCAACCAACTGGCGTGCTGCAACTGTATGGACCCCACTTCGTGAAATGTTGGCACAGAGGGCTCTTGTTGATTTGCTGGCCCGCCTTCACTTAGGGCGGGCACGAGGCTTGCTGGGGCCTTAGCCCAGAACATGTACATCATGGCAAGGCCCCTACTTGAGGGCTCAATCCTCACAATGTGGCCAAATGAAAAAGAATTGTTCTCTGAACGTGTTGATTGCACCAAAAGCATATTGGTGTGGCACTGTGGCAACAATTAATAGTGCCCAACAACAGAGTGTTCGAAGTTCAAAAATTAACAGAAAACAATTTACACCGAACTTGACCGAAGGGTTGGTATTCCCTACTCTGGCCGGTAGATGCTAGAATCATGGACAAAACTTAGAGAGAATCTTGCTGAGGCAAGCCTGGCAAGGAACCCTCAAACCAGGTCCAGCGTCCCTTCTCTGCAAGTTCAGCAAAAACTCAGAACTGGGCTAACAAAAACAGCAGACGTAGCTATGCTATTGTGGCTCTACTGCCGCTCTAGTCTTCATTTACCATCCGACTCTGAGAGCTAAACCCTTAATCCCCTAAGCCCTACCTCACACTGTTCCCCTCTTTCCCCCGCCCTCTATCCTTACTATTACAACCCTTGAAACCTCCCCATCCCTCCCAGTCCTAAACCCCAAATCCTGCTTCTTTTGCCGAAGCCGGGAGCCGTACTCCAGCTCCAATCCTATGTAACAGTTTTCTTTTACCCGTGTCCTAAACCCTAAACCCCACTATCCCTTTGTCCGTCTCGCGTAGTCTTTCTCCTTCCTAACCCCTTCCCATTTCAACTTATTCCTTGTGATCTCCATTTGAACGACAACTTGGAACCCTGAATCGTATCCACCTTGTTCTGGCCCAAAACCTTTTGAATAAAGCGGTTCTTCAGCTTTTGCGTTTGGTCTGGGTGCTGTGACCTCTGCTTCTGTGTCCTTTTCCATTGCGCTTGGGCATCTGTTTCCAGAAGGGTTGAGGAAGGTCTTCCTTGCTTCCTGTCTGTGCATCGGTCTCCTTTCGATGGTGGTCTGCCAACGCCTCTTCCAAATCGTCCATAGGATCTACTGTCTTATCAGCTGAAAAGTGCGCTTCTGGAAAGGTTGCCATCTCGAGGGGAAATCATGACCTAAGAGCAGCCTGAGGGTGATTTGTCCACAGAGAGTCTTAGCCTTCTCCTATAGGTCAACTGCCTCCGGACAAGGCAGCAGGCAGTGTAACATTGTTTCTGGAACCCCACCCTGACATACTGTACATAGTGTGTCGGCAGGGTCCCTCTGTGCTCGACTTCTACGGTCATTCAGCCAGTCGTTTACTGGTAACGCCATGTGGGCTATCAGCCACTGCATACTCATAACTCCTCCGATGCGTAGGGTGTTGATCTGGTTCGTCTCTTCATCTCTTCATTTTTTTGCCTCTCTGCTGTATGTGTAGTACCAGGGAACACCCACCAACCCGTACCTCTCCTTAACTCTCGGGGTAGGTTGGCACAGCAAGTTGTTACTGCAAGAGGGTCATGCGGGACTGGGTGGGCATGGCTGATCGGAGAACTGCGGGCAATGCTCGTCCAAAGAACTCTGGCCAGTCGCTGTGCCTTCCCTTCCCCCCCTCCCCTTCTCCCCCTCCTGCCTCCCCCCCACCCCTGAGTCAACATTAGCAGTGCCTAATCACCAAGAATGTGGCTTGGGGGGCCATCGAACTATCTCCATCGGGCTATTTCTAAATGGTCGGACACCAAGCATGCCCGGATAGGTATGGAGGCAAATGGGAACTGAACCCATGAACTCCTGCATGCCACTTGTATGTGTTGCCAGCTGAGATGGCCCATTTGATATGCTTCAAAGTTCATTCATGATGCAAAATCCTCATTTCAGTCAAAGACGAGGAGAAATGGGGAAAAATAATAGAGGAGAAGAAGCCAAAGAATGAGTAGAATCAACCCAATTATCACCTCCCACCCCATCTTGCCACGCTCATCATCAACCCAATAAAAGAATAAAGAATTAAGTTCAATTAACAGTGAAACAGTTACGTGATTGACCTCCATTGCATGCCCTCTTCAGAATAAACTCCCCCAAGATCTTGTTCCCCAAGACTGTCCCTCCATAGCACTATTAAGTGCAGCTTGTCATGACTGTCCCCCATGTGGGATGTCGAGAAGGCAACACAAGAGGGCTTCCCAGCCCTCCACCAGAACAGCATCGGCACACTGTTGGGTGAAGTTGCTGCTCAGGAGAGTCCTGAAAGGGCCTCCCTGATGCAGCGACACACATGGGAGCGTAGATCGTAGTCCACCATAGCCAAGGTAAGTCTTATCGAGGTTCCCCTCTTCTTCTTCCTCGTTGTGATCTACTGAAGTCTTCCTCTTCTTCTGCATGGCTAATGTGGGCAGTAACCATAACCACCATATCCAACCCTTTCCCTTCTTTCTCCTCCTAACCATAATGGTCTTCTTTGCCAACCCCAAGCTCCTCCTCCATCTTCCAGCTGATTGAGTACATCACTCTCTGCGTAGCAGCACTGATCCTACACGAAGAGCTGCCCAAATAAATGACTCGCTGTCCAAGTGATGCACTTGCTGGACCGGTGGGTCCAGCTGGCAAGCTGCTTCTTACCCTGACCACTTCAGGCCCTACCTGCTTCTCCCCAGGGCCACTGACCTCTCCAGCAGGCCAGGACATCATTGCAGACTGTAATGCAAGGATCATACGCGATGATGGAAAAACTCAAATGACAAGCTCATTGAGCTTTCGTTCATACACATTAGCTGACTTCGTGGCAGGCATAAAGCCTTGATCACACATTGCACAAGATATTAAGAATAGTGAAGTCTCTTGATGAAGAAACCCGCAACTCGCCTCCAATCAATCAAAACAATAACAATACTCATAACAAAAACTATATTGCGATTCCCGTCTGTCATATTCAACCGGGCTGACGAATGTGACCACGCCCTATCTGGTAGCCTACCTTAGCCTTGTCTGCCTGACGTTCAATGCCATACAGTACAATGCATCTCTCCACCAACGCCACCAGAAGAATGTAAACTGCCGGACCTCAATGGCGGCCAACAGGTATGACCTTTGCCAACTCTCCTCCTCCCAGGGATCCCCTCTCACTCAAAGGACTGTCCCCTTCCTTGCACCACCTCTCAGTCTCTCTCTCTCCTGTCTCTGTAAGCGCACAGACTGGCTGGCGACCAGCTCTCCCACTGGCGCTGGCTGAGCTTGGTTGGCAACTTGGCACAGGGGTGATGCTATGCACTCGCACAGCCTCCTAGCTTCTACCCTGCCGAATGCATTGAACACTGCTCCAGCCCTCCTAAATTCTCCTGACCGTGTCCCTACCGGTCTGGTCCAGTCTGTTACAGATAGAAGCTGGGTACTGCCCAAGCGATTCGGCTTGCCGGAGATTTCTAGCAACTAGCCTTGCAAGGCCCCAGTGTAGGGCCCAATAGCCCTCAGCGGCAGCCTCTAGGCCTTTACGGTTCTGCAGTAAGCCTACAAGTTCTGGATGTGCGCGGCTGGTATCATCATTGAATTGACTGCGAATCCTACTGTCTACAGGGCCTCTCGCACTTGCAGAAAAATCCCTACCAGGTTCCTGTATATCCCTGTCGGCTTTACATTTGCCTGCAAGTCCTCTGCTGCAAAATCTTGGTCCTATCATCGTATCTACACAGACTTAGAGATGTGTCTATCTCAAGCCACAGAACAACAACAGGGCCAAGTAGTTAGGCGCTAGACATATTCGGGAGGCTCAACTCTTTGCAGAAAGACACATTCAATGCATTTACCGGACTCAACACCTCGGAGGAAGACATACATTCACATGCCAGCAAGCCAAAGCACGGAAATCTCAACAAGAAGCTCGTCAGAAAGAAAGTGAGTTTTCAGAAACCACCGAGTTCCCGGACTGTGGTCTGCAACAGTCATTACGTGCTGGGAAAAAGATGACAATTCAAAGGTCTCTTTTTTGGGTAACAGCGACAAAAAAGGTCAGCACGTGATTTGCAATGTGTCAATGTTTCTCCCTTTCGACAGCAAGCACATGTGACTCAAACAGAGAAATTTAATGGAACAGAAAACTTTCCATATTTATGAAATGCAGGGCGCACGATTTTCCGTTGAATGCCTCACCTGCTATCAAGTTCAGTCATTTCTGATGAGCATTTCACCTCCCCCCCAAAAAAGCTTTCTCTCTCTCGTCGTTCTTCTCTGATATGTGTGTGTGCAAAATCTCTGATTTCATTTTGATGCGGAGATGCATTTGCAGGGGCTATGGGATGCCGATCCAGAAACTGAAGCATTCTCTCGTATCAACATCCATTGATGTCTACACGGCTGTCCGTTCAGCTTTTCTGCCAACACCTACAAGGTTTCACTACTCGTTCAATCTCCGTGACCTTGTCAAGCTCTTCCAAGGCTTGCACTGGGGCTTCCACATGGCCTCATCATCTCCAACTAAGGTACTATTCACATCATGTAAGGACCTGCCCAAACACGGACTGAGAACACAGCTGATTTCTGAGTTTTGCCGCTAGAATGAATGCCTTGCTGAGATTCCCGTTTTTTGCTGAGTTTTTAAAGTCTGTGTGTGTGCGTGCTTGCTGGTCTGCATGCCTGTCTGAGTGCTTGTCGGCTTGAGTGTGCAATGACTTGCTGTTTTCTGGTCGCCTGTAGCCTCTCTCTGTCGAGGCTGTACTATAGGTAGGATAGATTCGTAATTTTGTTTGGCTGAGGGCTAACTGAGAGACCTACCTGTGAGGGAAATTCGTGAGGGACATATCTGCAAATTCGGGAAAACATGCAGGCCCGGTACTAACAGAATTCCCTACAGCTACCCTAACTGCGAGTAGCAGGCCCGGGCTACCCCTAGAACAGACAGGCCCTAAGGGCCTATTCTGGTAGACGGTCCTATAGCCTATACTCGGGTCCGGTAGAGGCCGAGAGGCCGAAACAGAAACAGTACCGGTCGGTCAGTCAGTCCGGTCTAGGTGGAGTCTAGGCTAGTGTAGTCTATAGATAGAATGGGGACCTCGGTTCAGGGCTTTTGGCAGTTGGTACCGAGTACATCGCTGCTGTGCTACGCATGAACCGGAAGTGGTGACTGCTCAGCGTGGAAGGAGACAGGCATAGACAGGCCTTCGGGGCGCCGGTCATAGCTGGGACCTGCGCTGTACTCTGCCAGCACGCAGGGGCTGACAGAGGTCTGGGCTATCAAGGTCTGCTGGAGGCGAGAGAGGTTGGTGCCCTGTTGGACCCTCCTCCGGAGTGGGGTTCCAGGGTGGTGGCGCTGCAGCCATAGCTGCAGATTCTTCCTCAGAGGTCATCTTGTCAGGGTTTGGTGGTGCTACGGCAGACTTCCACCCGGGAAGTCTTCCGACACTTGGTCATCATCAGATACTGTGGTGCTGGTCTTCTTCTTCATCCTCTAAGTGGCGCTTGGCCTTAGAGGCCTGTTTCAGGGTGGCGCTTCCCTGTGGAGGCTGTATTTGGGTGGCGCTTGATGTTTCAGGGGCTCGGGGGTGCTACGGGTGGTTACTCGGGGTTGGGGAGTGAAGCACAGCTCATTTCTTAGCAGCGCACTGTAGTACTGAAGTTATCCTGACAATTTGAGACTCTGAGTTTAATAAATAGTGTGTAACTGGGTTTGGACTATCATCGTTTCATTGTTTCCTGGATGTGATCTGCTCGACTTTGAGTGGAGTGAATTGCACTTTCAGTGTACCCTGTCATATCGCATGGTCAAGTCTTCCGCTGTGTTATCTCTCCCTGTGCGGTGTGATACTCCTATCCTCTCCCCTTCCTTCCGTGTATGTATGGGCATAACTGGAAGTCTATGTGAGTGAGTGTTGGTCTTAAGACAACAAACAACCAAAATCATAACAGTTGGTATCGGAGCGATTGGATCCAGACTCTGGAGCAATTGATGAGTTGGAGCACCCATCATCATTCTGGAGTTGAGTCTCATGGCGATTCATCATCTTCAGGGTTGTTGTCAGTAAGGGTGGTGGTAGTGAGTGTGTGGCGAGAAGAATTGGACAGAGGGTGACTCACTCCTGACTAGGGTTGTGCAGGAGTAATTGGCGATAGGTGCTCAGAGGCTTAAAAGGCTCTGGGAGGCTAATCTTAGCCTGGCAATTCATCTGCAGGCTGGCGATTGGCAAGGAAGTGATCCCAGGAGGTTGCGGTTTTGGAATTGGGTCAGGATCCCCAATTTCCAAGCAGCACAGTACAGGTTGATGTGGCGCTGCACTGAGGTTGTCAGTTATTGGCACCTGGGAGTCTGAGTACTTTGAATCTGTCAGTTGGGGGTAAAGCGCCTTAGGGTAATCTGCTGGATCACCAAGTTTCAGGCAATTCGGTACGTGAGAACACTGGATGTCAGGAGATGAAACCGGTGAGATGGGGTTGACCAGTCAGCCATAGCTAGGGTTTCATGCATCTTCTTCAGAGTTGACCCTGAAGTAAGTGTGTTCCTTACTCCATCCTGTGTGGCAGTTCTGGGACTATTTTTAGAATAGAGAAATTTGGTATGTCTGTCAATGTACAGTTGAAAATCGAAATTCAGACTGTGGGACAACCATAACCAACTTCCCCTACCTATCTTCTTTGACTTCTATTAACCCTGTTTGACCTTCTTTCTAACTCATATTTCATCTGTGACTGCTTTATAGTATTGCAATTGACACTGTGTAGTGAATCGGTGAATTCAAGGTCCTGTTTTCAGTGATAATGTAAATTTGAATTTTGCGCTGACATAGCTAAAGCCTAGCTAGACTAGGGTCGGTCATAACTTTGATTCTGTCCGTCAGAATTCAATTTTGCCAGTCCCTGGTAAATCGCAATTCAGTACTCAGTCTGTGTCTGAAATCGTACATCCAGATTTGGTGTTTTGAGTCAGTTACAGTGAAAACTGTAATTCGCCATACCAAGGGTATGGCATGCAGGGTTATACAGTGGTGAAGTCTGTAGGGTAAGTCTGAAAATAGGGTAAGTTACCTGTAAATCGCTGCATCTTGGTTTCAGTGGACAAGTCTGTAGGGTAAGTCTGAAAATAGGGTAAGTTACCTGTAAATCGCTGCATCTTGGTCATCAGTGGACACCTGTCAAACCCTAATTAGTCACTCTGTCTAATTACTAATCAACACTAATCAGTCCAAGACTGCATTCTGTCAATTGTTGAAGCAGGATTTGCAATTATTGCATGCAATTGTTGTGTCAGGGCAGGGAAGGGAAAATTGTGAAATTGATTTTTGCCTGGGTGTACTCTAAATTGACCCTGACCCTCAAGCGGTCTGCTGAGACTGAGCACTCACTTGCTTAGAACTAACCCACCTTCTCTCTCTAGGCAGGTGACAACAATTGAGTGAGTACTGAAGGGAAATCTCAATTCCTATTACCTCCCGTTCTGTCTTTGATTAATTGTTTATTTTTATTTATCTGTATTGTGGGTGAACAAAATGGCTGATTCTGGGAAGGCAGAAGTGTCTAAGAAGGTTGAGACTTCTGAAGAGAAGCCTCAGGTCCAGCTCAAGATAACAGTACAGCCCCAGACACCTGTCCTGCTTGACCCTGTAGAGGGTGAACTGCGGGCCCAGGAGGAGGTACTCCGCCAACAGGCCCAGGCCGTTGAGTCTCTAAAGGTTGAGCTGAAGAGGAAGGAGGCGTCTACAAGAAAAGAAACGAGAAGGCGGGAACTGACAACTGATGTACACAAGGTCAGGACTAAAGGCGGTTCCAGTCAATACAATAAGGACATAGTTGAATTTGTCCTTCTGTAGGACGAAATTCATCAGTCCTATTTTACTAACTAGGATGCCAGGATCACCAGTTTGGAGGACAGCATGGTTGAGCATACTCAACAGCTGAAAGATATTTCTTCCAAGTTGGACAGTCTCTTTGATCACCTGCAGATCCCACCTGCTGAGACAACTCCTCCCTCTCCTGGGCCATCTCAAGCACGTTCCCAGAAATTCCCACAATCGAGACTCTCATCTCCATCCTCTACCCCCAAATCAACAGCAACTTCACAGCCCTCAGCACCATTTGATTTTCGGCGGCCTGAGTTGATGCCTCCACCCATGTTCTCAGGTGAGGACCCAAAAGTGGATGTTGCAGATTGGGTCACTGCACAAAGAACCTACCTGAGTGGGTTCAAATGTGACGAGGATGTGAAGGTGTCTGCCATCCTTGCTCGTTTGGAGCGGACTGCACTGAAATGGTGCACATCCACCTCCAGCAAGCAAGGAATGAAGATGTCTGATTGGGCACAGAGGTTGGGGGTGGCTGGATTTCTGCAGGCACTGCAAGACCGGTTTGCACACAAGGAGCAGGCCAGAAAGGCAGCAGACAAAATTTTGCGCCTGGGCCAAAAAAGGTTTGATGGCTCCTTGTCCAAACTGTACTCCACCTTTGAGAGTCTCACACCGACTCCTGGGTTGGAGATGAGTGAGCAGGATCTGCTCATTTATTTCCTCAGGGCAGCGCCTGAGCAATTCCAGCTTGCTCTATTCTCTCAGGGCCATAAGGACTGGCGGTCCTTTGGCAGAGCATCCCTGGACTCTTATTCTTCTTCTTGGTGGATTTTTTGTCGTCTTCTTCTTCTTCGTCGTCATCTTCTTCTTCTTCTTCTCCTTCTTCTTGGTCTTCTTCTTCGTCTTCTTCTTCTTAGTCTTCGTCTTCGTGTTCGTCTTTTTCTTCCTTTAGTTTTTCTTCTTGGTCGGGGGGATTGTTGGGCGCCATGCGCTATAATTATGTTGATTGATCTGAAACAGGAGGGAGAGAAACGCACCCCCCTCCGGCCGTACGAAGTTCGACACGTGGCAAGTGGGCCCTCACCATAGCCACGTGGTAAGTGCGCCACAAAGTTCCGCTTCCGCTTCCTCCACCTCAGCCGCCTTAGCTTCGACTACCCGCCACGTTGCAAGTTCGGCCCCTTGCCCCCGCCCTCTTTTTATTGATTAATTGATTGATTGATTGATTGATTAACTGACTGATTGAGTAGGATTTCGTGAATTCCTGAAAATTTTTCTTTTGTATGAAGGACATTTTTTTTAGCGCTAATTAGCGCTGATGTGCGGTTGCACTCATTAGCGTTAATCGCTCATTAACCCTATTCAACCCTAACCCGCAATCTAACTGCCATTAGGGGTAACTGCGGCGAAGTGTCGTTTTCTTGAATTACGTTCTTTTCGTTTTCGCTCATGCAGTTTGTTTTCAAAATATAATGTTTATTATTATGCAATATTTTGTTTCGAAATTTGTTATAAATCATCGTTTTCTGTTGCGAATTATTCTCAGTTTTCAAAACTTTTCCGCGGAATTAATTAGATAAATTTGCCATTTGGGACTCGAAATGGTGTGACCGCTCGTAACTGATCGAATCCGTTTTCGAACTTAGCATACACAACATTTTTTTGAATCTGAACCACTGTTGTTTTTCGCAAATTCGAATTTTCGACGTGGAAAGTTCGCCACGATTATTAGCTGTTTTCGGGGGGAGGGTCGACACAGGGCTTCTCTCCGTCTCGCTCTTAATCGATCAATCAATCAATCAAT